AGAAAAAGAGGAAGACCCCCAACGAGATGGATCAGCCAGGTGGCATCATTGATGGACTCAAGTGTGGCAGCGGTAGTGAGGTTGGCCTAGGATCGGACATTGTTTCGTTCTGCTGTGCATGGGGTCCATATGAGTCGGTTCCGACTCGATGGCACCTGACAACAAACAACAACAACTTGTACGTGGGTACTTCCTTTTGTTACAAATACATTTATGAATGTGGTGGAGCATTGTTGCTGTTGGTAAGTGCCATCGAGTCGGTTCTGACTCACAGTGACCCTGTGGAGGGTTACAAAGGAGCATCTGGTAGGTTTGAACTGCTAACCTTGTAGTTTGCAGCTCAGCGCATATCCTACAGCGCTATACTAGGAGTTTGGTAAAGCATATGGGGGACAAAATGAACAATTCTTTTTAGATATTATCAAACATCTTAAGGCAACATGTTGCTGGGCCCGGGGGCTCAAGACCATAGTCTCAGGGGACACCATGGTCAATGGGCATAACATACTCCATAAAGACTATATTCTACATTCTACTTTGATGAGTAGCCTCTGAGATCTTAAAAGCTCATGAGCAGCCATCTAAGGTGCAACTATTAGTCTCTATATGTGCAAAGAAAGAAGAGTGAAGATGCTTGAAATAATCTAGTTCAGTGGACCAATGAAATATGTAAGCACCAGTCACCATGACTCTGAGACCAGAAGAAGTAGATGGTGCCCAGCTACCACTACCAACAGTTCTAAAAGGGATTCCATTAAAACATCCTGGATAGGGTGGAAAAAACTCAAAATTATACAAAAGATTGGGCTTACTGGTCGGAAAGAGACTGGAGGAAGCTGAGATTATGGCCCTCAACCACCCTTCAGGTCTGGAACTTGCTTTTGCAGCCCATTTTCAGACAAGAGGTAAGAGATACATAGAAGGAGCAACAACACTAGTACATAGGTATGCTCACCAAAGAATGGGCAGTTCTTCAAGATGAAAAGGATAACATTTACCTAAGGACAAAATTGAGAAGGGATGGGAAGATGGGGGGAATGGAAATAAATACCACAGGGATGAAGTGGGAAAACTGTTTTTACATGGATGGAATTGAAATCATTGAAATGAAACAAACAAAGTGTATGATTTATTGAATATAAAACTGATGATCTCTATAAACTGTCACTCAAGTCACAATAAAAAAAGCTTGTGAGAATGGTGAACTTGTGAGTGGTTCGTTTTACAAAAATTATTTTAAATATAAATTAGAACTAAATTGTATGCTGAAAAGACTAGCCATATCATCCTCTAATTACAATGGTTAATAACACTGTAGGAGTCCTGGTGTCGTGCTATGGGTTAATGCGCTGGATTGCAAAGTTGGTTTGTACTGCAAGGTTGGCAGTTCAATCTCACCAGCCACTCCTTGGAAACCCTATACAAAAGGGTTGTTATGGTCAGAACCGACTCAGCCCGTAACAACAACAACGTTGTCTTGATACATACTTTATTTCTACATAGATCTTTATTCACTAAACAGCCAATATTTACTGAGCACCTTCACTCCAGAAAATTAACAAGACAACAGAGAAGAAAATACACAAGAAACTATCTTAAGACGTTTATAGTTGGTCAGCTTACACTTTAATTCTTCAAGTATTTCTATGTAATCTCGTAGTAATGTTTTAGCTATAACCTCAATGACTCATTTATTATGGCCTTGGGATGTTGTTGAAAATAAAAAAAATTAAAAGACCAAACCAAAAGGCTCAAAAGCAAAACAAAACAAAAAAGACCGAGGTAGATTTATCAGGTGCAAAAATATTTACATGTAAAGAAGTTCCCCAACTACACTAACTTACTTGATGGCTGGTCCCTTGTGGTAACTCTTTTGAAGCCTGCAGTGTTTGAAATTTGATGTTCCAGACTGAGAGGCATTCTGTAAAATAAGATGTACAAATACCGTCCTAAGTATAAATACATGATGCTTTGAAAAAGTCACAGTAAAATGCACCATTCTTACAAGCGACAAAATAAAAACTAGTGATTGTCACAGAAGTTCAAAGAAGCAAGAGCTCACTTAGGCTGAAATAATCAGGGACGGTTTTAGGGAAGGTGAACTCTGAACAGACTTAAATAATGAACTGTTAATGGTGTGGAGCTATAGGATGAGCGCTGGACAGCTAACTGCAAGGTTGGCACTTCAGACCCATCAGCCTCTCCCTGGAAACCCTATGTAGGGTTTCCAGGAACTAACTCTATGGCACTTAACAATATCCAATATCCAACCGGAGTCCTGGTGTGGCACTGTATAATAAGCACTGGACTGCTAACCACAAGGTGGGCAGTTCAAACCCACCAGCCACTCCTTGGAAACCCTATACTGACTCAAGGACATTTTACAATAGCAATGTTGAACAACAGGAAAGTGATTAAGTACATTGTGGGACACCCAGTCAATGAACTACTATGCAGCTGCTACAACACAAGAAAGATTGGCACAAAAAACTCTGGAAAGGTACAAGACAAACTGTAACAGTGGTCACCTGGTCTTATAGGGAGTGGGAAGGGAGAAGAGGAATTTGGGGGGATTTGAGAGGAGAACCACAGTAACAGGGTTAGCTGTTATGATTCCGGAGCCAAGCTGTCTGGGATTGAATACCAGTTCTACCACTTAATTTGTGATCATTAACCCACCTAGGCCTCAGGTTTTTATCTTTAAATATTATCTTCCTTAGAGGGCTACTGAAAAGATTGAGTTAATATATCTAAAGTGCTTAAAATAGTGCCCAGAATATGGTAATTACTGCATATTAGCTATCATCATTTATCTTACCATTACATTTTTTGAACAATGCAAACATAATTATTGTTGTTGTTAGGCGTCCTTGAGTTGATTTGCCAAAACCATTATTCAAATGCATCACTTCTCCTGTCTTCTTTTCAAGGTTTCCCAGGCATGTGAGGTGACTGAAAATATTATGGCTTGGGTCAAGTACACCTTCGTCCTCAAAATTTTTTTTCTTTTAACACTTTATAGATGTCTTTAGCAGCAGAGTCACCCAATGCAGTGCATTTTTTGATTTCGTGACTGCTGCTTCCATGGGCCTTGATTGTGGATCCAAGTAAAATAAAATCCTAGACTTCTACATCTCTGTTTACCATGCTGTTGCTTATTGGTCCAGTTTAAGGGACTTTCGTTTTATGTTGAGGTGTCATCCATATGGGAAGGTGGTAATCTGATCTTTATCATTTCATCACCTGCAGCAAGTCAGGCCGTATTACATGCATATTGAGGTTGTTAATGAGCCTTCCTTCAATCTTGATGTCACGTCTTCGTATAACCCAGCTTTACAGATTATTTGCTCAGCATACAGTCTAAATACCGTGAAAAAATACAACCTGGGTGCACACCTTTCCTAACTTTAAACCACACAACCTCCCCTTGTTCAGTTTGAACAACTGCCTCTTGGTCTATGTATAGGTTTTGTATAAGCACAATCAAATGTTCTAAAAGTCCAATTCTTTACAATGTTATCCATAATTTGTTATGATCCACACACAAATGTCTTTGCATAGTCAAAAATACACAGCTAAACATTTTCCTGGTATTCTCTACTTTCAGCCAAGATCCATCTTCCTTCAGCAATGATATCTCTTCTTCATGTCCTCTTCTAAAACATGTCTAAATCCTCTCTACATGTCCTCTCTTCATGTCCTCTTCGAAATCCAGCTTTAATCTCTGGCAGTTCTCTAATCATGTACTACTTCAACTGTTCTTCAAATTGTCTGTAAAAATTCGACTTGCGTGCGATATTAATAATGTTTGAAAATTTCAGCATTTGGAATGGCACAAATATAAAACTGGTAGTAGATGTTGTTAAGTGCCGTCAAGTCGGTTCAGACCTATAGCAACCCTGTATGGGGTTTCTGAGGAGAGGCTGGTAAGTTTGAATTGGTAGTCATTTTCCAAATTCCTTGGCACAGAGAAGTACTGCACCCATTTGGTGGAGCGTATCAATTGGTATTCCATTAATTCCTGTAGCCTTCTTTTTTGCCAATGCTGTCCGTGTAGCTTGGACTTCTTCCTTCAACACCAATGATTCTTGATCATATGCTACCTCCTGAAATGGCATCAATGTTTTGCCTATAGAATCCTTTAATTTTACAATTCCAGGTTTGAATTTTTTCTTCAGTTCTTTCAGCACGACAAATGCTGTATGTGTTCTTCCTTTTGGTTTCATTAACTCCAGGTATTTGCACATTTTATACTTTCCTTTGTCTTTTGAGCTGTCCTTTGAAATGTTCTTTTCACTCTCTCCATTCACTTTTTGCTACTCTCTGCTCAAGAGCAAGTTTCTACTGACATCCAGTTTGGTCTTTTCTTTCTTTCCTGTCATTTTAATGATCTTGTATTTTCTTCATATATGATATTCTTGATGTCATCCTACAACTCCTTTGATTTTTGGTCACTGGTGTCTAATGCATCAAATCTGTTCTTGGGAGAGTCTCTAAATTAAGGTACGATATACTCAAGTTCGTATTTTGGTTCTCCTGGGCTTGTTTTAATTTTCTTTAGATTCAGCCAGAATTTGCATATGAGCAACTGAAGTTCTGTTCCACAGTTGGCCCCTGGCCTTGTTTTGGCTGATGATACTGAGCTTCTCCTTCGTCTCCACATCTTTAATATCAACTCTACTTTGAGGAGGCAGTTCTTCTGCAGCTGTATTTTGAGTGTCTTCCAAACTGAGGGGCTCATCTTTCAGCACTATAGCAGACAATGTTCCACTGCTATTCATAAGGTTTTCAGCGGCTAATCATTCAGAAGTTATCCAACTTTCTAGTCTGTCTTAGTCTGGAAGCTCCACTGAAACCTGTCTGCCATGGGGCATCCTCCTGGTATTTGAAACACAGTGGCAAAGTTTCCAGCATCACAGCAACACGCAAGTCACCATAGCACAATAAACTAACAACTACATGGGGGGCATGGGGTTAAAAGGGCCATGTTAAGTATTAACTATAATGTAGTGGTTGGTGCATAAACTTGAATAATAATTATATTAACTGGTTTTCCCGGTAGGAGTATGGACATGACCCTATCACTGACAGAGCTGTACTTAACGACAAATGTTGACATGTTCTTTCTGATTATGAATGCAATGCCTTTTCTCTTCAATTTGTCATTCCCAGAATAGTAGCAGATCATATGATTGTCCAAATAAAAATGGCTAATACCAATCCATTTCAGCTCAATATTGCCTACGATATTAATCTTTATGTAGTGCATTTCATTTTTGACAACTTCTCATTTTCCTACATTTATACTTCAAACATTCTACATTCCAGTTATTAATGGGTGTTTGCACCTGTTTCTTCTCATTTTGTGTTATGGGAGGCTAACAAATGAAATTCCTGAAAGTTTTACTCTATCCATATCTTTAAGGCTGACCCAATTTGAAGGTAGCTCTTCCCCCACTCATATTTTGAGTGTCATCGAACTGAGGGGCTCATTTTTCAGCACTACACCAGACAAGGTTCTACTGGCCAGTTTTTTGAGAAGTAGACCATCAAGTCCTTCCTTTCAGTCTTGGTCTGGGAACTCCACTGAAACCTGTCCACCATGGATGTTTCTGCTGGTGCTTAAAATACCAGTGAAACTAGCTTTCAGCACAATAACATTCAAGTCACCATAGTAAGACAAACTGACAGGCAAGTGGTGGACAAATATAATATCTATTTCAGAAAATTAGAATGAAAAAATGTAACCATTAAAATATAGTACTAAAAATAGGCAGGACTTAGGGCTTGCAGCATAAAGGAGATAACCCACTAGATTTGATGACATGACTTTCTTATACCTCAATTTCCTGGGTTTCAAGACAGGGATAACTACGGTGTCTCAAAGGGTTGTTTTAGGCCCTGACACATGGGCATTAATCTACGTTGTTATTGTTGTTATGTGCTACCAAGTCAGTTCCGACCTATAGTGACCCTACATAGGGTTTCCGAGGAGCAGCTGGTGAGCTTGAACAGCCAACCTTGCAGTTCAAATGGCTTTACAGTGTGGTGCATTAACCCACAGCACTGCCACACCAGGGCATTAAGCTATAACCACCAATAAATACTCTTGGTAGCTGAACAAAAGGTTGAAGGTTCAAGCCCATCCAGAGGTGACTTGGAAAAAAGGTCTGGCGACTAATTCCTAAAAAACCAGCCACTGAAACGTCAACACACCGAGTCCTGCTGACACCTGGGGTTGTCATGAGTCCAGGTTGATTTGATGGCAGCTGCTTTAACTGGAGGTACACAGGCAAGGATGAGCACAGCACAACTTGTAGTCAAAAGGCTGTCAGACCTGAAAGAAGCAGGTTGTTTTTCTTGCACAGAAAATAGGGGAGGCAGTTGGAAAAGGTAGACAGGGTCTAGACCCTGGAGGGATGCCAAATGCCAAGAAGTAGACTCTACAATTTATCTGTAGGTTGGAAGTCCCATTGGCAAGACGCAACTGTGCTCTTCCTGATCTAAGTGGTCATGATGAGAATCCTGCTCAGGAGTCACAGAGTTAAGAAGCATACGAGTAGCTCTGGTACCTTAAGCTGTCCGCATCCAGAGGATTTACATGCTCTGAATTCAAGTCTTTACAGCAAGGCTTACCAACATTTCAAATGCCTATGGACTGGCACAGGTATTAAAAATGTGTCTGAAAGATAAATCAATGCTAGATAAAATCAAAGACCTATTCAAGAAGAATTTGGATGCTACAAAAGTAATTCTAGTACAGTGATAAAGAGAATGAATTAGGGTGACAATGAAGAAAATAAAGAACAATACAGAAAGGGACGTCAAAAGGTACCCTTAGTAGTTGACGGCAGAGTTCCCAGGACTGCTATGTGATCGTGATCCAGGATGCTGACTGCAACCCCATTCCGAGCATCACCAGACACAGCTGCCTTGAGTAACAGGGTCCTCACCAGCACCTGACTTGTTTCTGGATCCTTTGGATGTGTTGGTATCAGGGTTTCATATATACGTCTACCAGAGGCTGCTGGAAACAAGCATTTGTTGTTTGTTATTGGATAACAGACAGTTCTGTATTAATTGTAGGTTAAATCCACTAGGCTATCTATACAATTTTATCAAATTGATAAAAATTCAACCAGAAAAATAAACAAATGTAAGTTTATAATAATATCACTTGATGTTTTCCCTTGAAGAAGATACAACAAACTTAAAATTGAAGGAGTACTGCTAATAATCATCTCAGTAAGAAATGTCATAAAAGGCAAAAAACAAAAGCTTCAAATACCTATTATTTTAAAACATGAGAGGGAGTTGCCAGCAATATAGGAAAATTAGTCACTAAGAAAAGATTTATCCTTTAGTAGTAATTTATGAGCAGTCTATCTATTACATTTCTTGTTATTCAATCCCTGATGGTCACCTAGACGGAATTCTGGCAGTTTCATGAGATTTCATGTTACATGAAGATTTACATGACTCTTTGGTTCAGACTCCCTTACTTCAATCCTCATCAAGCTAACTAAAACCCCCAAACTGACTACCATTGAATCAATTCTGATTCGGTGATCCAACAGAGTCCAACAGCTCCTTAAGGTTTCCAGGACTGTAAAGTTCTAAAGGGAGTAAACAGCCTCAGTTTTCACTTAGGGAATGGTTGGTGGATTTGAACCCACAATCTTGTAGTTACTAGCCTAACGTCCTACTGCACCACTGGGATAGCTAAAACTTAACTAGCAATCTATTATTCAGTAATAAATTTACTCTACTGGTTAAACTTAAAAACTAGTCTTTTTTGCTTGTAAACCTGTCTTCAGCCTATAACTGACTGAATTAACTAAAAGGGGTGCTAGAATTTACCCAGGGAAATAGGCATCTTATTAAACCTCTGTGGTGTATGGGGCCTTAGGTAGAATGCTGAGCCTCACCCAGAACCTTCTGAGGTGGGGTATTCCCACATGAAAAGATATGCAGACCAACCCAGAAAGGCTAGAGGAACAGAAGACATCTCTAGAAAGAAAAACCAGCAGTAAAAAAGTAGACTGTTGGGCTGTTAGAATATTAAGCACACTGTTTACCTTAGAGCCATCAAGGCAAGAAAAGTCAGCCCACTGAGGTAAGCCTCCCTCTAAGTCTAAAACTCAATGGGAACCCACCAGCAATCTTGTATGCTCGCTAATGACCGCCCTGGTCTACTTGTGAGCGGAAGCGTGGGAAATGCAGCAATGAAGCCATGGGCTGAGTGTGGTCATGTGCATAGACACCCATTGACCTTGAGAAGGGAGAACAGGAAGGGCTGGGTGGTCTGAAGTTTGGAGGGCATGTGAACTCCCGAGCCTATCGACACTGACCAAGCCACTGGGGGCTAGAGCCGAGAGTGAAGCAGTGGGGGAAACTCCAAAACTTGCAGACAGTACCCATTTGATCTACCTTGGATGGCTAGCTGACCAGAACTCTACCAGGTGAAGATAAAGAAGTCTGATACGAGGAACAAGTGTCAATTGCTACAATTTGATGAACTGGACCTTTGGCTTATGGATGCAGTTACTCAAAATTCCAACTGAAGGGGAAGGGCTCTTCATATCAAGGATCAAACTTGCTTCCTCAGTGGACTGGGTTGGTAGGGACATTGCCGATTAAGGCTTAAAGGGACTGACTTACAAGCTTTCTTGAGTGTGCTTAGTTTCAGAGGGGGAGGGGATAGAATCCTCACTGAAGAGTGAAGAGTTTACCTCTTTTCCACATGGTCTGATGAAAGGGGATGGGGAAGGACAGGGATAAGATTTTACAATTCAATTGTAATTGTTATCAGGACTAACTGTGATGGTCACAACTGTGACAACTGTGTAGCTAAAAGGGGGGAGTAGTTAACCTTTCATTTCAGGACTAGAGGACCCTAGGACCAGCAGGAGGGAAGAACTGGAGTGGAGCATGAGACCCTACCCAGAATAGCAGCGACAGCAGAGACAGCGGCAGAGATGCTGACATAGAGAGAGAGAGCAGCGAGGACTAGCCCCAGGGACTCAAAAAGGCTGTGTGCCTGCGGGCAGGAGACTGGTTTGCAAAGTGTGCCCTTTGCACATTTGTATTTATATATTTAAAAAAAAAAAAGGGGGGAAATACATGTTTTTAAAAAAAAAAAAAAGTCTAAGGAAAGGCAAACGTGCATTCCAAAGATCTTCTAGATATAACCATTTTAAATACCCATCACAAACACCTGCTAACCGAAAGGCCGGTGGTTCAAACCCACCAGCAGCTAGCTTCTTGGAAACCCTATATAAGGTCGCTATGAGTTGGAACCAATTTGACGGCACCTTAACAATAACAACATCTCATTATTTATGGCATCCTGGTAGTGTAGTGGGTTATGTATTGGGTAGCTACACCGCAAGGTCAGCAGTTCGAATCCATCAGCGGCTCCATGCAAGAAAGATAAGGCTTTCTGCTCCCAAAAAGATTTATAGGCAAGGATGAGCACAGCAAGCCTGCAGTCAATAGGCTACCAGGCCTGAAATCAGCAGGCTGTTTAGACATCCCTGTCTTTTTCATTTCTTTATTTACAGCCTTAGAAGCACTGTACAGAGTGAGTAAAGTCAGAACCGACTCCATGGTACACCCTCACCCCCATATCATTATTTGGAGTCCTGGTAAGGCACTGTAGGATAAGCACTGGACTGCTAACCACAAGGGTGGTGGCTGGTGGTTAAAACTCACCAGCCATTCCTTGGAAGTCCTATATATATGAATCAGCATTGTCTTGAAGGCACTTTACAACAACATATCATTATTTATTATTTATGGTAAATTCTAAGGATATAAAAGTTACAGTAGCACTGTGTTCTACCTTAAGTGCTTCAATAGCCCTCAAACACAGCAACACCTACTGAGCAGCACAACCCTAAGCCAGTGGGAACATGACGAGGTGCACAAAGAGAAGGATAGATATTGCTAAGGAAGGGAGTATTACCACAGAAAACTGCAAACTCAAAAGTACACAGGACTCCAGAGTACTAGGAATTCAGAAAGTCTGTGTAAACATCCCATTATCTTCTCATTCCAATTCCCACAAACTTTTGAAGACCCTTGTATTCCTTAATTTGAAATCTCTGAAAATTTAAAAGAAAAACAGTCTTACTTAATGTTACTAAAGAGATGAACTTCCGATGCACAGATGCTGTAAAATTCTGTATGACAGATTTTTCTTCTTGTCCATGTAAGAGTGTGTATTTGCTTAAGGTATGTGAGTGAAACATGTGTACATAAACAAAATAATTTCCATGCTGCAAAAAAAAAAAAGAAAAGAAAAAGTTACTTTGTATCATTTCAACAAACTAAACATGTTAAAACCAGAAACTGTTAACCATTCTAGTTACTTGGACGACTATGTACAACTTTTTCTCTAATTAAGAATAATAAAAATATTTAATTTAGTCACTTAACTGAATTAAACTTTTAAAGATTTCTTTAGTATTAAAAAATTTAGTTTAATCTTCAGAGAGAAATACAGTCTTCAAAAAGCATGTCATTCTAAAAAGGAACTGAAGACATTATCACTTACTTTTTCAGTAATAAAAATTAAAACAGGGTGCTTAACTATCATGAAAACCTTCGTCCACCTAAAAATCATAAAAGGAAAAATTATAAAATGCAAAATCACCAGTTGAGAAAAACACAATATTAATAGAAATCTAAAAGAATAGCTTTGATTAAACTTGGTTTTTGAGCTGGAGAATCAGAAAACACAGATTCCACCAGGGACCAGCAGGCCATTCTATGTCAAGCACAGCCAGTGTGGGATGAAGTGCAGGCGGCCGAACTTCGCAGACGTGTGTGTAAAGATGACAGTGCACATTGTTAAGTTCCAGAAAGGGAGTAATAGTAAGTATGCAGTGCTTCCCAAAAGTATTCAATTCCACTCCCCTAGTTTTCAGTCACCTTCAGGACTAGCGTTTAGAGGGAAACACAAAGCCCTCATCTGCAGTCTTCATTTAACAGGGAACTGAGGCAGGTTAAAGAGCCCACAGAAAAAGCTGCCGTGTGTGGCAAAGCAGCCAGTGGAACCCGCACCTTCATCTCCCCGTGGAGTCTCCCAAACACATTTACAGACACGCATCAGGTTAGTCTCTGCCATAATTGGCCACGGCTTACCTGGTTCCCTTATCAAGTACAAATCGTCCCTGTAACTTTCAGAAATGTAGTTTGTAACAGGTGGACTTAGAGAGGCAGCTAGTTAACCGCACTGAACATGCGGAGAAACTATGGTGACCAGAGATAAGTAACATCATCAAAGTTTCCCTCTAGCCTTAAGGCAAGTCATTTCCTGAGTTTTTTTTCAGAATCTGGGAAAGCAGAAGTCTCCGATACTTTCGTAACTTCTCTACCAGCAAACTTCATCAGGCGAAAAGGCAGAGAGCTTGGCAGTCAGAGTAGTATGACAGAAAACACACACTTTGGTCTTTTGGGATTGCCCACTTCATCTTCAAATAGCTCCTAGTACCTGGTTGTCTAAGGAGTTCTGGTAGTATAGTGGTTATGAGTCAGGCTGCTACCCACAAGCTCAGCAGTTTGAAACTACCAGTTGTTTCATGGAGAAAGATGAAGCTTTCTACACCCATAACTATTTACAGCCTCACAAACCCTATGCAGGGTCACTATGAGTCAGAGCCGACTCCACGGCACACCACCACAGCACATCACCACCAGCTAGTTGCCTGGCATTAAAACTGGACTCATATGGCCCTTGGAGTCCTGGTGTGGCACTGTGGGCTAATGAGTCAGACTGCAAAGTTGTTTGAACTGCAAGGTCGGTGGTTCAACGTCACCAGCTGCTCCTTGGAAACCCTATACAGGGTCGCTATGGGTCAGAATCGACTCAACGACACTAAACAACAACAACATATGGTCCTTATGGCTTCCTCAATCATGTATCACCCCTCAGACTTCTGGGAGATGTTATTTCGGCCAATGCCTTATAAGTGTTTTTTAGTTACATTTTTTTACCAAAACATTTATGAACAAAGCAAAGAATGTTATAAAAAGAATGCAGAAGACACAAAGGAATTTTCATTTTGGCGGTAATTCATTTGCAAGTGCAGGAACTTACTTAATCATTTCATCATTAGAGATCACAGTTTCAATTTTCTGCTGAGGCTCTGCAAGCAGAGCCTCCAAACCCCGGACTGCACCACTCCTGAAGAGCACTAGTGGTTCTGACCCTTGTACTGAGTGGATCCGGTATACATCAGCGGACAGCTGTAAGAACATAAGCCCATTGTAAAGTTTATTATAAAACAATAATCATCTAGTATGCAAAATAGAATAAGGACATTTATGGAAGATTTACTTTTAAGGGATTTAATTTGTTTCCATTTTCATTATTATGTGTGGTTCCAAGGAGTCCTAGTATGGTGCTGGTAGGATAAGCACTGGACCACAAGGTCAGTGGTTCAAGTTAACCAGCCGCTCCTTGGAAACCCTATACAGGGTCACTGAGTAGGAAACAACTCAGGCACTAATCAACAACCAACAACAAATGTGGTTCCAAAGTCAAATCTACAAAGCCAAATACAGTTACACTTCTACCTTCTGCTTCTACCTCTTCACTCTGTTCCCCACGTTCTCCCAAACGTTAAGCAGTTTCATTTTTTTGGTTTATCCATGTGATTTCCCCCAATAAACAAATATTTTTATGTATGCAGGGGCTTAAAAAAAAGTTCATGGAAAAATCCAATTATCTTTTAATTCCATTTTCCAAGAACTTTTTGAAGTCTATATATATATATATATTCCTTTCAAGTTTTGCATAACCATTTTGACTTATTTGGGAATCTGTTTTGGAAAATGAGGTATAGGGATCTAATT